TGTTCTTGCACAGAACAAAAACGTGCACTCAGCCACTCACCTATGATATGATGACCCAATTGGTCGTTTGACTTCCCTCGGTAACATAAGGGGCCCAAAAATGAGATAAATGATTTACGGAACCCTTGCCGTGGCTCAAATAGGTACATACTGATACATGCTTGCTGTTATGCACCAGATGGTAAGAAAAAATGTGTGGCCCATATACTATCAAGTCCACCCTCCTATCCTCAAGCCATTTTGACACCCTGGCCTTAATTTCTGCGGCAAATCGGTTAGAAACGATTCATGATTGTTTCTGCCGGAGCTCAGAGGACATGTTTCCGTATAAATATTTGCTTGGGCTCGACCAACAGAAACTTCTTTTACCAGCTCTATGGTGTGAATGCACTAATAAATATTTATCAGACGCCGCTGAATTTATGTTCGACATGGAGCGGCGTGAAGGCAAACCTGGGGAGCTTCTGCGGTCAGCCAAGCCCTCAGCATTCCAACCGAACCGCGGGCTCAAAAGTCGTCCTGTCATAGATTTCGACGACCACTGGGGGAGCGGCACCGCGCTTTATTTCGTTTGGCCCACGGCTAATCGCGCTGGCTTGTCTGTCCATAGCGCGGCGAGGGCTACACGGACGTCAGCTGGCGCGCGTCACTTTGTGTTTGATGACGTCATTTGGAACAGGAGGGGACTGTTAACCCTAGAACGCCTAGGGGGGGGGGGGGTTGTATCAACCCCCCAACCCTGAGGTTTTTTCGAAGTGCACGCTAAACGGCTTGTCGTAGCGGGCTGAAATTTTCAATACCCTCTGAGGCAGCCTTTGCGCATCTTTTGCCGAAAAAAAATTGATCGGGTCATATCAGGTCACGGAGTTATGACGTCATAAGAGGTACAGCCTCCGGCCGACAGTTACCAAACGTGTGCGCCGAATCCCTAGGTTTTCTGCCGGTGATACCCACATTGTTCGATGGATCATGATGAAACTTCCCATGCATGTTGGGGCAAGCATTGGCTATCGTGTGGTGCAAGAAAATTGACCGGGTCAGGTCAGGTCACGGAGCTATGACGTCTCAAGAGGAACAGCGTCCGGTACTATTTTTGAAAAGCGCCCGAACCACTATTTTGCTAATTCTTGTCACCTCAATGGGAATATGCAGCAATATTAGCTTCTATAGGGAGCAAATGGACCTCCCAAATCCAAAAATACAATCAGATTTCAAAAATTTAAATTTTGATTTTTCGAATTTCTGCCGCCGACTGTGACCTTGCCGACTTCCGGCGCTCCCAACGCGCCATTTTTAGAGCTAGGGAAACGAAATACATACCAAACGATAGAGAATTGATCAAGGAACACAACAGTGAAGGTTTCAAGTCGATAAATCGCCGCGGAAAATTGAAAAAGTTGGATTTTTTCGGAAAATTTGACCTTTGACCGGTCATAAGTAGGTCAAATGTTGACCTAGGACCAAAAAATATACCACCAATCGCGAGATCTCGTTGAGAGCAATCCGTTGGTTTTTTCCGCTAAGCTCTACGACCTTCCGTTTCGAAACGCCAGGGGGGGGGGGTCGTAACAACCCCCCCCCCTGGTCGTTCGTGTTATGAGAAATGGCCTGGTCGTGCGAGGGTTAATGGAAGCCGCAACAGCTGCCGATTGAAAAACTGGCGGTGCGCTCTGCCAGTTTGGAATACACATAGCAAAAAGAACATTGAGAAGGATTATTCGAAGGCATGTCAGTTGATCATAAACAATTTAAGCTTTGACAATTGACATGTCCTTGCCAATAGGTATCATTTACCAAAAGCTTATGTAGGCTGGTACGTTAATTAAATGGTCTCTGCTTTGGCGTTTCGTTCATTTATAGGTATGTCCAGATAGTATCAACTGCAGAGAGGAAATAAGTGCTTTAGCGATAACAAACGCAGCTGAACACTGAGCAGCTGTGGACAAGTCTGTCAGCAAGACGTCAAAGACAGCAAACGAATTTGGCGCCAGCGGTGGCGCAGACAATTAGGGAACAAACACCCAAAGTCTTAGAATAAGCACCAAAACAATACAAAAACAGCCTAGCCCTTACTGTCACGAGGGAGCATCCGACCTCCGTCCTCCTTTTGTCTGCGCTGGTGTCCGTTTTTCGTGCTGAGACTGCGAGTCACATGGTCATGAGGGCAGGGAGTGTCCGACGCCAACATCAGCACTGACTTGAGCCGGGCGGTCGCCGCCCCGGCGAATAAGAACGAGTCGGTTACAAAGGTCATGTCAAAGCGAACTCACCACTAGACATTGATGCTTCTTCAAATAAAAGACAATCCTATATTTTTTTAAGGAAAATACGTGTCTTTCAGATAATAGCAAAGCTGTTGTTGGGTCGGTCTTTGTCATCGTGCTTTGGAGATCATTTCCATATATTTATCATCGACGGGTCGTAAATTCACCACACCGGCCACCTCGCAACGTATTGCCGATAGATAATAAATCGCCTACAATTCGATAATTTACCCTAATGTTTTGCTTACGTCCAACATTTTACATCGCTTTGAATGTTACTCATCAGGCTGGTAACCACCACCAACACATCAATTTGATGATTGTGGCTCGACCTTGGGCGATTTCTGGCTGGGTTAGAGTGAATTCAGTGTGATTGTTCAACAGAGCTCGCTGATGCTGCCAAATATCGAGTTGTTTACAGCGGCGGGATACACACAACGATGACAGATATAGGTATGTGTTTCCGGGATAAAAACAGGGTGTTTGGGCAGATCGAAAAATGTGCCATCGACTACAGTTGAAATTATAGATTTAGTCTGCGCGCTTAGATGAGTTACGTATGTAGAGTTATATATGTACTAAATTATATGTCGAGACGATATATATTATGCTAATATAGGTAAAGTAGATGCATAATAAAGCAAAAAAGATACATAACAAAGCAGCGTTATAATAGCCGTTTTCACAACGGCCTATCCGGCGAATGCACCTAATTTGACCAAATCTGCACCTAATCTCCTTAACAGCAAATATCTTCATTTTATGAATTTATTTCGGTGTTTCAATCGATGATACTCTCTGATAATATGGCAAAGCAGGCATATAAGCAATTAGTGCAACCCTCGCTCATAGCTACTAAGAGATACACTGAACCTGATTTGACCAAATCTGCACCTTATCTGCACCAGATGTGTACCAAATGTGTACCAGATGGTCGTCGTGAAAACGGCTATTGCTGAGCTGTAGATATGAGAAGTGAAAATCGATGCATCGATTCAAAGGTCGCCAATAAAGCAGAGAGAGAAAAACAACGTTTAACTCAGGCAATGGATAACCAGTAAAGCCCAGATGCTGAGAGAAGGGTGAACGCGGATATTCATGTGATTTATTTCTAGCGTGCATCCCTTATCTTTGAGACTTTCCGGCCCACATTGCTGCCAGCTGGGATGTATCGACCGCAAGGGACAATATCTCAGCTCTCGGCATCGGGAGCTGAACATCATTGACCCCGGAGGATACAGCCAGGGAAATATGTGTACGCAGATATTTGGCTGAGTTTTGGAAGGAGCTCTCAAGACTCAAAGAGTGCTGTGCAACGAAGAATGGACATGGGAAGACGGACTATATATAGGCGAAAGGCGTGTGCTTACGTTATTTACCTAATACCTAACTTTAAAAAAGGTTTGACATGTTCTGCGTTGGTTACGAGATATATTTGTTGAATAAAAGGCAGTGAGTTGTCAAAAACCTCATAAAAAAAATCACATGTAAAAAGCATTCACAGGACTCATCACAAAGTAACTGACATCGAGAACATGATTGCACTGGTTCGTTGGAGTGATGGCCGATCGGACAGCGTTTGACATGTCAATATACGGTATACCATTACCATGCCGGAGCACCACGCCCAGTCAGTATCGACTTCATGTCTGTGCCACCAGATATGTCCAGCCCGTCTGGTGACCAGCTCAGCAAGTAATGACGTCACTCCACGAGCGCCAGCTGCTGGGGAGCGGATTAAAAAGGTCACCGGGTGACCATCAGTGAGCGCCAGAGGTCCGTGGAATGGGGACCGGCCTGCCGTGATTTTGGTAATTTGAAACACGATGTGCCATTCCGCTGGCCGGCGAAATATAGCGCCATGATTTAGGGTATTCCTGTCATCCAAACCAATACATACGTAGATCAACCGGGCGTGGATGATCCTGATCTCAACAAAATATAAAGGATTTCTTCTGTCCAGGCTGGCGACCAACCCCTCAGATGTCTTTCGGTGAGCTCAGGCGGTAAGAACCAATATTCGACGCGGGTTCTTGCATCAAACTTCATTCGAAAAATGACTTTGACCTCATGCATGGTGCATTCCCATATTGCATATTGCATGCAATATGGGTATCGGCAAGCATATGACATTATGCCATACCTATGGTAAGTGAAAATAATTCCATTTGTGCTCGAATAGTTATGTGCTGAAGTTTACAAGTATGACCCATCATGGAACGACTGCTGTTCTTGTATTCGCCGACAATAAACCCAACTAAAACAAGTGGAATGTCCCAATGAATTCGATCAGCCACCATCGTAAACTTTGCACCATGAAGTGGCGCGTTAGGTATTCATGCGCGAGCACCAGAGCGGCTAAGTGGTCCACTTCTCGCGTCAATGTCCCACGATCGATGCGGACCGTAAGTGCCTCCAGTCGTCGAGACTGCAAATTAGCCAAACTAATCTGCAAGTGGCGTCTCTTGTCTGCAATCGACGCAGCACGTCGGCCGAACGCTGCGCACCGCCCCCGAGCAGTGTCTCTGACCTTTAGCCGGCCCTTTTCCACAAATCAACCCAGTGTCCGATCCAGTCCACCCGGAGCGTTCCTCAGAGCCGTCACTGGACTGGATCACGACGGTTTCGTCGCTCGGAAGCCATAAAACTGTCTTGAGCCACGCCCCGTCAGCACCTCTCGGGTCCGACGTGACACGACACTCGGGGAGGGGAGCGCGACCGCGACTCGGTACTCACCGATCGTGTAGGTCGTCTCATCTATCTTGAACGTGGCGCTCTTGCACTTTTTCAGGGGTCGCGGAACGCTGGCTGCCATGGCGGCCGCGCCTGGAACGGACCAGGTCCGTCAGGTGCCGCACGACTTCTGTCTACTCGGAGCGCTAACCCAGCTTTGATAACTCGGGACGGTCCGAGGGGACCGGTGGTTATCGCTCGCGCCCCGCGGGGCCACCGTCGGCGGCGACGCGGCGACCGTCGGCGGCGACGCGGCGTTCGCCACTGGCCGCCGGTGAGCGCGTCCGACGCGCCCGTTCCGCGTGCGCCGAATCTGACGCATCAGCCGCGGCGAGATGGTAACCAGCCGGAACTCGCTCCGGTGCGTGGTGAGGAGACTGATGGCAATGCCTACACATTCATGCGCGCTCAGTCGCGCTGCAATCACCCATGGTCGTGATGGAGACAATGGGCTCAGAGGCTATGAAGTGCTCTAGTAGCGTAATGTCATGATATTTATTTGTCACGAGACCTCGGGTTTTAATTAAGTCGAGGACGGGGAGCGTCCCCGACAGTTTGTGATAATTGATCGGATCTGAACTGCTCTATTGCGCCGCCAAATATAGGAATATAATCACAGCTCATTTAATTTGCCTTGCAATTATGAAGAATCAATAATTCATCCATGCATTGTGTGCGTACCTTCATTATTCAAAGACGCGTCTTGTAAACTATTAAGGTTCAACAAATATTTAGGTACTATAGCATATGCCAACTTAATTTTTCAAACTATAGCTACTTCGTCTTCAATTATTTGTTTAAATTACTATGAGCAAAACGACAATTTCACCTAATATGTTTCATTCGAGACAAGTGTTCTTGTTGAACAAATTATTCGTAAAACAGCAAGAAGACGTCACTTTCGTAAAAAGACTTCACCTTGGAAGAATTGCCGTGTCGATCCAACCCATCATAAGGTCATTAGTGGTAACTTCTATTTATTACTAAAGAAGTCGCCCACCTCCTAGACATAATTTCAAGGCATCTGTGAGGTTAGCTTCCTATAAGCAGCGTCAATATCCATGTTGAAATTAGCAGGCATGCTAGAGGATCCCGCCCTACAACTGACCGACCACTGCACTGGCTGCATGCGGTTACATCCTTCTGACCGACTGGCAGTTGGTGACAAATCAGTTCCAGTGTAAAGCGGGCTGGTAAAAATGATTTCAGTAACGCCCGGACAAAACATCGAAGGTGGATGTCACAGCCTTTCTCACGGTCTATCATAGTTTGACGCTAAATGCAACCCACTACGCATTTATCCCTGGATTTAGTTTTGAATTGAATGATGACGATGACTTCCATAGACGCATAAACGAATGAATGTATTGTCGTTTTTTTACTATTATTGTTGATTTATGAACTTAAATACCAAACCAAACAACCCGAATCGTTCACATATATAAATAACATTTTGGCTCTGACTCAATATAGCCTCCAAACGATAGTCAATATTGCAAGGTTTCGCCTATAAACTAACGCATCAGCTTCGCTGAACGCTGGGCCAAACAGTTCGGCTGAGTGTACCCAAAGCGCGCTGACCTGCAAACTTTACTTTCGGCCAATTTGCCGCGCCGGAGTGGTTGGCAGAGCCCGGTGTGAAGCCCGCACACACCGACCTTATCGGGCCATATGCTGGTGGCATCGGGCCACCTACCGCGCCCGGGGGAGGATTCCGATAACGCACGTCGGTTAAAGGGACCATCCCACCTTCAAAAAAGTTTATGAATTGGCATGAAAGTGATGTCGCTCGGTTCAGAAAGAGCGAAAACGAATATCTACCAAATTTCACCGAAAAATATTCACCGGTTTTCAAGATATTAGACTTTTACTTTTGTTTACTTTTTTGGGATCTCCGCTGTTTCTAGCGACTTGATTTTAGAAGTGCGGCGTTTGCGGCAGATGTTGCGCGCAAATAGCATATACCACCGCGTGCTACAAAACGTTTTAGTCAAACATTTAAAAATCGTTGGATATTTGCGCTGACGTCACACATTCAGAGGGGTATTCCTAAGCATTAGCCCCTCTGAATCAAAATGCTGCAATTTTGAAATTCAATATTTCCGATTTAAGGCATTTCTCGATGTTGTGAGTGCCGAAACCGGTAATTGTGAGCCAGGGACCCCATTTTGGCTATCTCAACTCAAATCTAATGTTAAGGTGGGAGGGTCCCTTTAAAAACGGACGACCTCGAGGCACGGGGCAACACCACATGCCACGAGATGACAGCCAACCACTTAAAATCGAATGAAGTTTAGTTTGGTGTCGAATGTCGATAAATTTGCATTTATCTGTTGGATGTGCTATATGTGTTAATTATTGCCTGGATTAATGCATAAATGATGCATTTCTGAGTACTAAAACATTTCAATGCTAAAACATATTTAGTATTGAGCGGACTATATATTACCTAAACATACCTAAACATAAACATTGGCATGTAGACGGCAGACCGGACTTGATCTTGCTAACAACCATCCCCACAGCGATGCAGGTTTAGTTCTGGGATTCGTAATTAAGAAGTTCCGCGAACAATGCGGCAGGCCTCAGCAGGAGCGCGTCGCTCTCCATTATACCAGTAGAACTCTTCTGTTTGTTCTCAACCGGAGCGCGCCCCGCTATTCTCTCGCAGCACCTCTCCAAGAGTCTGGAGGCACGCTGGAGAACCTCAGCTCATTATCCGATGAAAGGTTATCCAACCATAAAGCTCGCGAAGGACGGGGAGGCGCTGAGCCGCGGCAGGCGACCTGACCGCCCCAGCGCGGCATTTGACTGACCACTGACCGTCGACTGGCCATCTAACCGACGCAGCGACCGCCTGCCCCGCAATTTCACTTGAACGCATGCCACTTTGTCGAAGTTAACCGGCTGCAGCCGACAGCTAATTAAAGGCAGGAAGATTTATTGGTTACGTGGCGCGGGTACGACTAACGCCAACGTGGGCATTTCACATCGAGAGCAACCAGTTGCGTCTGGTGGGATTCATTTTACGTTTCGATAAAACGCGAATATCGCTTGTAGGTCGATGCATTCATTTATAGGGGTTCTGGTGTAGGCTCAAAAATTTAAATGTGAAATGCTTTTGATTAAAGAACAATTAAATTACTGCCTTGTAGGTACATGCAATACCTATAAAAGTTGACAAACCTAACCTCCAAAACTAATTGCAAGCAAGGGTTAGGTAAGTGGACACTGTAAAATCAACAACAAAATAATGCAGCATTTTGTCACTTGGCAGACTTGCATGTGCTGTAGCCAGGATTGAATTGTCACGACTAGCCTCATTGCATGGCTTTAAAAATGAGCACTGCCCTAGCCACTGCATTTGCTCACTTTTGCGGATCGTATAATGCATGATCCAGATCCTTAAAAAATAAAAATCAAAAATCAAAATCCAAAAATCCAACCTGCGAGTATAACAGCTCACTGGTCCAGCAGTGCCTGCCACTATGGACACTATATGTCCAGTGACTGTCCTAATAGCGTCCTTGCACATGACATCCCAGCTCCCGCAGGCATTTGCCACATAATAAGGTGTGGAAGCTGTGCGTCATCCAAGTAGATATTACCGTCTGCCTGAATCAACTCAACAGGGTCCAGGAGGAGAGAGCTTGATTGCTCGCAACGGAGAAACCATGCTTCATCAAGGTGGCTGAGACGCCGTAACGATTGGCACTTTTGGGTTGCTGATGATAAATTATGGTGATTTAGGCGGCCCCGTGGCTTCTGGCGAAGGCGTTAGACGTGTGACTCGCAGATGTCCACCACAAACAAGCGCTCACCGCAAACGGCCACCGCAAACGGTCACCGCGAACTCCGGATGTCGGGCATAGCGTCGTGATGGAGGCGCTGCATGGAGGAAGATGGATCCTGATGGAGATGATGGAGGAAGATCCTGATGGAGGAAGAACCGGGCCTGAATAGTCTCAGGAGAGCCGCTAGACCAGAAGCCAGCAGAAGAGTAAGGTAGCGCTAAACCTACCGTGATTCTCATCCCGAAAACACACATACTGAGGTTAGGGCCACCCTGATTTTCTTTTCGAAAGGAAGACATATAGTTTTTTTCTAAATCTGTATGTGTTTCTCGAGCGATTGCTCAATAAAAAGCGAGGGCCTCGGTGTCTTAGAGTAGAGGTCTAGAGGAAGCGAGTGCAAAAAGTTTGTACCTGAAGCCACGTTGACTATAAATACCTGAAGCTATGCAGCTCGTATTTTCAGGGATGAGAGGAGGTCCCTTTGAGTCGTGACGGGCAAAGAAAAGTTATCAGATATGCCATTGAGTCAAAGCTAAGTGAACGTTTCACGCTTTCCATCGGTAGCGATAAGAATACCTTTTTGGATGGTGGCACTCACCTTTTCAGATCTCGGAGCCGACCTCTTTGGGTGGCGGAACTCACCTTCTTGAATGTCAGTCAGACGAGATCGCACGACGAAGCGCCGTGCGCGGATGAACATGTCCTTCTCCTGCGGCCCGAGCGCGCGCGGAGCGCTCGGTCGTCGGCTCAGCTGCCTCGACTTCATGCCTGCCGCCAGCGAGGCGAGCGACGCCAGCGGCTTTCGGTGCGGGCGGGCGTCGTCGAGTCGCGGTGCGCGCTCGTCGGCCGTCTCCAGCGGCGTGTTCGGCTGCACGAGCACCCGGCTGGCGGGCCGCACGTGCACCGTATCGTCCGAGGAGCAGAGGCCGCGCCGGCCGGTGGTCATGGTGACTCCCATGCCGGCCCGGCGACCGCGCCGAGGGCACTGAGTCGCCGGGACGGCCGACCCGCCGGCCGGTCCGCCGGCCGCTCCATCTGCGTGTCAATATAGCATGCCGCGGCCGGCAGAGGCTCAAGACGGAATCGATGCCCGCCGATATTGAGGCACATATCTGGTAATAAGTGAGCTCGCTGGAGGTCGATGTGGCGGAGTCGGACGGCGCACGGTGGTGATGGCTGGGCGCGGCCCGCACGCGTGTCTCTCCGACTCTCCGTGTCGCGAAGGAGACACGCACGGCTAAGAGTGGCCATCGACCGTGACCGGTGTCCTCCAGCTTCAATCACAGCCAGCGCGAGCGTCGGCGAGGCGGCCGGCGGCCAGATTCGACACGAAGTCAGGCCAAGACTTCGGCTGATGTTACAGTGTCCTGTGTCCCAGGATTGCGGGAATGTCAGGAACCTGTGGCGACAGATGAACACTTTTAAAGTTACATGCTCTGAAAGGCTACATGCTCAGATTAGGATCGGACAAAATATCCTTATGCTATTATGCTGATGCTGAT